GTCTGTAGTACTCAAGTTAAATACATTGTGTCTTTTTCGTGTATTGATTTCTGTCTGTTGACTGTTATAATTATCTAGCGGAATAGTTCCAACGCTTAGCAATATCTGCGATTCTTGTTTTAAAAATTCAGCTAATAATGTGAGCTTAGGTAAATTTTCTAAGCCTTTGCTGTAAGCATAGTCTGTCCATTTACTAAGCAAAGTGCTGGGCAATTTTAATATAACTGCATTTATTAGTTCTGGACTTCTTAAATATTCTTCTTTATTCAATGCATTTAATGTAGCAGCAGAATTAATTATTTTAGTTGAAAATTCTATTAAGTTGCTTTGATAAAATAAGGGTAATGGTGGTAGCTTCTTTAGCCGTGTTGTGATTGTGTGTACAATAGAATCAGAGCGTCCAAACCTCAGTTCCAGCGTGTCCATCACCTGCGAGGGCACCGTGTTGCCGATGAGCAGGTCTGCTACCGCCTCCTTGGCTGCGCCGCGAAGCGATCTTCTTAGCCGCCACAGGTTTTCACTGTTACTGAACTGACATATTTTTGTGGACTCCTCGTAAGCGTTCTTGAAGTGAAGCCACTCAATATAGTCACCGTGGAATTCGGGAAGATCTCGTGGTGTGGCGAGGCGACTCATGAGCCTGTCCTCTCGCTGTGAACTGATTTGGGTCATCATCTCCTTCAGTACATGTGCCAGTTGTTGGACGTTAGATGTAGCCTCCTGTAGAAGCCGCTCGGTGGTCAGGAACGTCGGATGGTTCCGAGCCCGTGGCTCGAAGGCTGCACAAGGTTCACCTTGGCTATGGTCCAACCATTCCCTTACACTTTCTCTCGTACGCTCGTCTGCAACAAACCGACTTTCGGTGACGTCATCGGCCACCTCCTCCTCTTCCAATTGTGCTAGAACTGCCTCCAGCTGCTTGTTTATGAGCTGCATACGTATCTCGGCCTTCGCCTGTTCAGCTTTCTGCTCCAATTGCTTCCGTCTAGCGATAGACGAAGACGCACACGATCTCCTCGCCGTTGCCGATGTGAACGTGTTTGCGCTGGGTGGTCCCTTCGGTGTCTCCTCCTTGGCAGCCTGGGTTCCTCGCGAAATAATATCATCGGCTCCACGAGGTGGCGGATGTGCTGCTTCCGGGGCAGGGTCCGAAGCAGACGCCTGCTGCTGTCGCCGTGTCGTTGGCATCGTTTACCGTTTAATCCACGCGAAATTAATAAACAATAAGCTCCACGGGATGCAACCAGTTCAAGATGCGGGTCGAAGTGACCAAAATTATAAAGGATGGCGGCGATGCAGCAAAATGAAACACAGTATTTTCAATATGGGTGCGCACTGTACGTTCGACGGACGACATTCGACTGCCCAGAGCCGACCACACTCCAAATTCACTTTATTTTTAATATTCAAAAACTACCAACTATATTTTCATCTACCTTGGTATAAGTTAGTAGTTTACAGATAACAAATAGTAGTTATTGAAATGATGTAGAATATAACATAATAAACATTAATACAAAGAAAATAAACAAAAGACAGTGCTACAATTTAGTTAAGTTAAATTACATAATATTTTGTGAATATTATATATTTCTTCTTCTTCTTCTTCTTCTTCTTCTTCTTCTCCTTCTTCTTCTCCTTCTTCTTCTCCTTCTTCTTCTCCTTCTTCTTCTCCTTCTTCTTCTCCTTCTTCTTCTCCTTCTTCTTCTCCTTCTTCTT